TTTGACCCAGAGCACTTCTCCCCCAAGCACAGCTCCCCCCTAGCTCGCCGTTCTATGCACCACGTGGGGAGCGTCTCCCCCTAGGAGCCAATCTGGCCTCCAGCTGCTTCTGGGGTGCAGCATCGTCCATGGGGCCAGGTCGCGGAGGGTCCCTGCCTTAGCCCTGCTGCCGCTGCTCCCCCAGCACTGGCTGTTCTCCCACTAAGAGCAGCACAGGGCTGAGGTGGGGAGAGAGGTTCCCTCCCCCCCAGCCCCAGAGCAAATGGGGGGAGAGTCCGTTCTCCTGGCTGTAGCCCTGAGGCAGCCTGCACCCTGAACCCCTGTCCAGGCCCCACTTCAGAGCCTGCCCCCCTCCCCTCAGCCTGGAGCAAACCTCCAGCCTCTGCCCTGCTTGGCCCCACCTCCTGACTGTGGTGCACATAAAACAGTCCTACCCGTGCCTAGGAGAAAGCAGCCGGGGCCAGGCCCACCTGGTGTAACTAAATACTTCAAGTGCCAGCACCATCCCCGTTTGTGCTGGTGGCGGCAGGCAACAGACAGTCACGCTGGGCCCGGCCGGGCTTGGTGAAGTGCAATCTTTATTGATATGACACAGACCGGCAGCCTCCCAGCCCTGCAGCCAGGGTCCAGGCCAGGCACTGGGAGCAGGTTGCTGGGTGCAAATGGTGCAGCTAGACCTCGAGAGCCAAAACGGGAGGGGGAAGGCAGCTGGTAGTTAAACCAGCACCAGGGCAGAGGAGTCCCCCAGCTGGCGCACAGGCCCTGCTTGCATGGCAAAGTCTAGGCTAAGCCCAAGTGCCTGCTGTGGCAGCCCTGCAGCCAGGGTCCAGGCCAGGCACTGGGAGCAGGTTGCTGGGTGCAAATGGTGCAGCTAGACCTCGAGAGCCAAAACGGGAGGGGGAAGGCAGCTGGTAGTTAAACCAGCACCAGGGCAGAGGAGTCCCCCAGCTGGCGCACAGGCCCTGCTTGCATGGCAAAGTCTAGGCTAAGCCCAAGTGCCTGCTGTGGAATTCCACCCCCCCCACCCACACCTCTACCTCAGCCAG